TTCATAGGTGGGCTTTTGAAATCTCTCACTTCTGTACTCCTTTTTGTGGTCTTTCTCATAGAGTCTCTTAACAAACTTCCTCTAGAACTGCTTGGTAATGAGAGCCAGGGATTTAGCAAAGGCTTTCAGATCATCATCTGTGTCTGAGCTTTCATCTTCAGACTCACCGTTCATGATCAGAGCCTTCTTTCCCTTTTTCTTATGGTGATCTTTTGACGAACTTCTGGCTATTTCCTTCTCTTTAGAAACCAGGCCAGAGGACCACCAAGAGACACCTTCTTCATAACATCTTGCTTCGGCAGCCAGAGTTCCATAGATATCATGCAAAGACCAACTTTACCGATCCTGATTGGCTTGTAGAGACATGGACAATTGTGTCCATTCACCACCAATGCTCTTAAGGAATAACACATTGTTTTCTTCTTTAGTCCTTGAGATGTCGTTTCTGCAGCATTGATTAATCAAGGTGTTAAACCTATCATAAGTCTTTTGGATTGGTTCATCAGGATGAGCTTTGAAGTTGGTATACTCGTTTAAGCATTGAGCCCTCATGTGTTTTTTCTGGTTTTGACTCCTAGTTGGCTTGCAAGTTCATCCCAGATCTCGTTTGCGTTTTGCACGAGTCAAGAGATTCGAATATCTTGTTTGGAATAGGCATGATGTAAAGTCTCTTTGCTTTTCTGTCAAGTTCCACTTTCTCCTTATCTTTATCGTTCCACGATTTTTCATCCTTCGGGACGAAATATGCTATAATTTCATTGTAGTGGGAGTTGCAGGAACTCTAGGAATCAAGGTTTGAGGAATGTGGGGACCATTGATAACATAACAGACCTGTACAGATTCATGTCCATTCCCTAGAAGAAATTTATCAGCTGGATCTTCCATTGAGGGTACTCTTCATGTTGAAGAGTTGGAGGTTTAATGAGAGAGCCAACACTATACACAGAATTCCAATTAGACATTCTTACCAGGTTACAATATCAAATTCTTCTAGATCAAAAAAAAGGAAAACACCAATTAATCACAAGATTTTATCTCTATTGAGAAAACTGTGAAAAACAGGGGATGGATAAGAACAACTTGACCTTGAAGAAAAAACCCAAATAGATGAGAGAAATGAATCACAAATTCAGATTTGATCGTTTGATCGATAACAATCAATCTGCTCTGATACCAATTGTGAGATCCCAGATCTCTCAATCTGTGAATTGATTAAAAAAATTAGTACCGAGGAAGATGATCTATTCCTTGGGTTATGAAGAACACATGAACAACTATGAATATTCAAGAACAGTTGGAAGCCATCACCATCTTCATATTGAGAGAAACTTTGATTACAAATGCAAATTAAAATGGAATTACACACATTAGTAATCAAAGCTTCCGTGAAAGGATATCTAACAGAATGCAGTTCAACAACTGTTTATATCCTCCTAGAGAGCAGAGTCAAGGCATTGATGAATCATAACCTGCCATGTGTAAAGTTGAATAACTGTCTCTAGGTGGCATGTCCAATCAAGAGCCTCCATGAGTCAGTTTGTTAGACATAAGCTGACTGAACAAAAGCTGATGACTTGAGCATTTCATCAGCAGCTGAAGACGAGAAGGGGTTCTAGAGAGGCTCTGTTTATAGACCAAAGGGACTCTTCATCAGTAGGTAATCATCAGGTTAGGCATATTTGGTTCTTCATTGTCTATCTTTGGATTGTTTTCATTAGGTCTCTAGTCTTCAGCACTTGAACATTTTACAGTACTTTTACATGTAGGGGTCTAACACGAAGTAACATTCAGCCGAAATATCCATCCATCAGGATCGATTCCGTTAAACATAGGTAATTCCACTCTATGCAATCTCCAATCGACCGGAGAGGATCCTGGATGTGGAGATTTACCGGTTCCTCCTATATCTGAGTGGACGAAGAACGGGGAATTAACACCCCCTTTGGGTTGCGATTCTAGAGCTCCTCCCCAACCAGAACCTTGAAATGACCCTCCGGTTTGAGTGGAATTGTCGGATCTCACTTGGAATAACGAATCCGGTTTGCCCATTATTGCTTGAATTCTCTTGTCTAGATCGTCAATTCGCTTGTTGTTCCCTGCCTCGTGATCGCAAAGCGCTTTCACATCTACTCTTATTGCTTGAACGGCCTCTTCCAGAACTTCTATGCGCTCTCCTTGAGGCTTTGATGCCATGGTCGATCAGGATCGAAGGCTTTGATACCAATTGGTATGAACGAGTCGGTTGTTTCAATTGCTCGATTGAGGAGCGATTACAATATGGAAGATAATCCTGGTGTCCGAGAGCCAGATCTTTCCAAATCAAAAAGATCCCAAAAGGAATACCAATGCCCTAATACGATGCTATCCCATCCTAATATAATGTTCCTAGCAAATTTGGACAGCTAAAATTACCAAAATTATAAAATACTGAAATTACACCTGGACTTTCCTTATCTACAAATGACTCATTTTCTAGAATATACTTTTGAAATCGGTGGCTTATCAGAATGTACAAGTAGGCAAAACAATATTACAAGTATGTGATGCAGTAGTAGGAGTATATTAATAAGAAGTGGTGAGTGTGAGAGGGCATCGATCAGTTTGTCAAGTCTGTTTTGGGCAAGAGCCTTGGCAGAGAATTTGGCCTCTCAAAAGCAGAAACCCTATTGTAAACATTCAGTTGATGTCTAATACAATTCTATATCCCTCAAATTAGTCTGGTGTTCATCAGCTTATAAAATACGGTTGCTAGAAACTACTGAAATCCATCCAGTGTTCCATGTTTCGTAGTTAATGCATGCTATTGGCCAAAATCATACTTCAGAGAATATTCTACCACAATTGAATGAAGATTTGGAGTTGGTGGTAGAGCCGGAAGAAGTATTGCAATGTCGTAACAACCAAGCAAGGGAGTTGGAGGTTCTTATCTGTTGGAAAGGCTTGCCTTCAGGACACGGTGAATGTACGGCAGGTGGGCATTGATAAGCCTGAAATACAGTTTACCTATTCTGAAAGAAAGAAGTAGGGAGGCAGAATGGTCTTTTCGGGGAGAAGGGGGGGGGGAAGTCTGCTGGGGTCGGTAGTAGGGGTTAAGTCGATGCTTTTAGGAGTGTAAATAGGAGGTAACGTGGAGAGGAGAAGCATTCTAGAAGATTCTGTTAACTGTGTTAAATATGTAAGCTAGACCTATTGGTTGATCTCTACGACAGTTACAAATCAGTTGGTTATTATAAAGCAGTGGCAGTTACTCTCTCAAGGATTGTGATGGTTCATCACAACGTTTACTACTTTATATATATATATTACCTTATGTATCTTAAACCATTATGTATTCTGATGTTAAAAAGATATTCAATAAAAGTACAGATTAGTGTGTATATCTTGTAAATCTTGCATCCTATTCAACAAACTGGGAGAGGGCCAATCTCTCAAATATTGGCGACGTAGTAGCAGTAGTTGTGTTCTTGTTGGTTATAAGCATTCGATTTTAATCAGAGGTGGAAATAAGTGAAATAAAATCTGACTTGATTCCAAATGTTTATCGGTAGACAATTGTTATGTAGCCAAAGTTTTACGAATGTCCCCATCTTTAATTTATAACTTTATCAGTGAAGTTCATATGCTAATTTTTTTTGTGTTCCTTTCCCTGTTCATGGCTTCATTTCTTTTGGTTCACAGTATTTAGAAAATAATTTGTATGAACTTGAGAACGTTAAGGTATTACTTAAATTGAAATGTACTATGTTGAAGTCATCTCAGTCCATCATGCAAAAAATTATATTGGCCATAAATTTTAATTGCATTTCCTACATGGAGATGGTATCATAGGAATGATAAAGAGGTTAAACATGCTCATCATGTAATTTATTTAAACACAAAAAGCAATCAATACATTTTTGTCAAATTGAATCATTGATGATATATTTTTTTTAACATCCTCTCTTTGGGAGAAGAATTTGGTGTTTCTTTTTTACCATTGCATCCACTTCGTGCCTGCTTAAACAATGGAGTTTGCTAAAAAGTAAACTGCACTTTGATCTCCTCTTATGATAAGACTAGTTCAGGCTTATATTCTTGCACCTTGGAATAAATCTCCTTGTTTATTCCAAGTTGTTACTTCTCTTTCAATTGGGTGAAAGATTTCTTTGTGTTTGATTATAATTGGATGTGTTAAAGTTGTCTCAATTATGCGTTGCTTCTCAAATACAATACAGTTTTTCATGGTGTAGTCATAACCGAAAGTCGGCACCGGTTCTCTTAACCAGTTTTGAGTAATGCCTTGAACAAACAGTGACTTATGCTTCCAATGTTTTGGAAATGCAAATGACCCAAAGATGCATGAACAAGTATGAAAGTTACTTGATTTTGCAAAAGGCCTATGGACATTTTTGAACGAGAAACTTGTGGCAAGAATGATTGTAAGTTGAATTGTTTCTGATTCAGTATTAAGTTATACCAGTTTGTGATATATATACACACACACACACATACAAGCACACTGCAAAAGAACAGATGACTTATAGTTCCTCAACATGAGATGTATATGAGTAATTCACCGAAAGTGGTAATAATTAGGAAGGTCACTTGGAAGTGGCTAAAAGTCTAAATTAATGGCACACAAAGCCTTCGATGACTTATCGGCTGCCTTGGTAAGCTATTACCTCACCAACTAGCTAATCAGACGCGAGCCCCTCCTCGGGCGGATTCCTCCTTTTGCTCCTCAGCCTACGGGGCTTTCTCAGCAGGAGGGTAAAAACGCAAGAATCTTCTTTTTCTATAACATAACTTAATTGAGGTTTCTTCAGAACATTTTTGTTTTGTATAATAAAGTTTTTCAAGAATTCAAGTCACTGTTGAAATGGACATTCGTAACGAACAGCTTCTTTTATAATGTTAAGTTCTCATCTGAAAGATTAGTCATGTTTCCAGGTCTTCTCTATCAGTATTTCGTTTATGTGTTTACGGGTGGATATGCCTCATGAGTTGGAATCCGTTGATAGGTTTGGGTGCAGCTTGGAATGTTGCTGATGTTTCCAAGGGATCAACAGTTGCCATTTTTGGTCTGGGAACTGTAGGGTTATCTGTAAGTGTGTCAACATGGTACCATAAAGTCTATTTTTTCAATTCATTTTTACTTATCAATCTTTATATATGTATTTTCTTTTGTCAATAAGGTTGCACAAGGTGCCAAAATAAGGGGAGCATCTAGGATAATTGGCGTGGACACTAATCCAGAAAAGAATGATAAAGGTAGCATAGCACACAATTAATTTACATTCAAGACCTTTCCTAACAAAAAATAGTATTTCTTTCATCATTGCTTTGCTGACATCGTTGATATCGGCAATTACCAGCGTATCTTGATGTTTTTCGTTACTTATGCAGCAAAAGCTTTTGGAGTAACAGATTTCATCAACCCAAATGACATTGATGAGACGGTTCAACAGGTACCCTCTTTCTTTGTCAATCGTAAAAAGTATTTGTTTGTTCATATTATTATGATGTTAATGGTTGTATTATTCAGGTTATCAAGCGACTGACTGATGGTGGTGCAGACTATTGTTTCGAATGTATTGGAGATACTGAGATGATAAATACTGCTTTGCATTCTTGTTGTGATGTAATTCCTTTGTTAATTATGTAAATTCATTCATTTATTTATTTATAATCAGTACTAGTTATGATTACTGTTTTACTTTAATTGCAGGGGTGGGGTATGACGGTTACCCTTGGGGTTCCCAAGACAAAACCAGATATAACAAGTCACTACGGATTATTTCTTACTGGAAGAACACTAAAAGGGTCTCTTTTTGGAGGATGGAAGCCGAAATCAGATGTTCCGAGTTTAATTGATAAGTATTTAAAAGAGGTAAGAAGATATATATATATATATATATATATATATATATATATATATAT